ATAAGCATATTTAAAAATCCCTGTAGTTGGCGAATGTAAATATCTCCTTACTGTCAATATACGTAATAGTCTATTAAGATATTATGGACTGTTATTAGGAGTTAACAGTGTGAGCCCACCATATTCCAGTAAATTATGGTTATAATGCCACAGGATGTTTCTGGTGTTGCAGCTTATCTAGACGACATTATAATCAGGTGGGTAGATAGAAAGGAAGCTAAACATAAGATATCTGGATACGATTTCCGACTCCTTTCAGAAATATGTGACTTCATCATAAAAAAGGTGCATTATATCAGGCTTATAATAGACAAACATGGCAGACGACCAGATCCGGTGGATAGCAATGTGGTGAAAACTATATCTTGAGCGACAGATGTGCCCATACTAGGGCCATTTTTGGAATTGGTTAGCCACTTTAAAGCTTTTCTTCCTAATTTTCATTCCCTGAGAGCTCCATTAAATCATCTAACAAAGAATATATAGTGTGGTGTGTGCTACTTATACGAACGATATAAGTAGTATAAGAAGGGACGTGAAAGAAGAAGTCTCACGGTCAGAAGAGGGAAACGGAAAGCAAATGAAGTACCAACAGGAAGGAAAGGAAGCAACAACAGGAATGGAAGATGGATGGAGTGTTGGAAGTCACGACTCAAAGATGGTGTGCAAATAGAGTATTCAATGTAATGTTTTCGTTTTCAACTAACTCAGAGTGTAAATTTGCATAATACAATCTTCCATGCCTGCCTCAGTCTTCTCAATAGTATTTCAACTCGTTTTTTTAAATTTTCACAGCGTTTTTTAAAAAGTAAAAAGAATACTATTTTTTAATTAAAGTCTTCTTTAGCAATCGCTTTTAAACAGTTGCGACGGATATGCCTCGAACAACCTTGTAAACAAATCATTTGTGGTTGATCGATTTACAGAATTTAATATACATAAGATTTGTAAGTGATTCATTAAATCCCCGCTCGCCAGTGATCTCACAATGGATTTAATTTTTGAAAATGCAAATTCCATTGGATTAAGCATATAACTATAAGGGGACAAAAACCTTTAAAAAAATTTTAAAAAACGCTGTGAAAAATTTAAAAAACGATTTGAAATACTATAAAAAGGAATTGGTCTGCAAGTTGTCAAGCGGCTTTTGAGGAAATGAAGAAACTTTTAGCCTATTATCTTTTATTTAAGCATTACTAACTATCCTTATTAATTGTAGTTGTATAAGAACTTTTGAACTACGGTGTCGGAGGAGTTATCTCCTATATCCTTCCAGATCGGTCTGAGAAAACTGTCTCACACAGATAGCAAGATCGTTAACCACAACAGAACTAACTTATAGTCAAATCGAAAAAGAAGCCCTGTCAATTATTTTTTGCAGATCAATGTACCTTGTTAGGAATGATAATTACTTTGAATTTCTCGAACTCCGCGACACAATTCAACATATTAAGTGCACATAAGTGTTATTGTTAGAAATGAGTGAGAGATTAAGAGGTGGTTGTTCATATTTTTCTTATAATTGTGATTTGTTCGCTGTGCTACATACAGTCTACATTGGTACTTTTGTTGACTAATTTAGAAATAAACCTGTCTGTCACATGACTATGTATCGATCATTTTATTGACTAATCAAGAGTATGTCTGTGTATATATTCAATTACGGTTAAAATTTAATAAACATCAACTTTCACATGATTGATAGACACACGTTATTTTCAAAACAGAATCGTACATTCAAAACTTTAAGCGATTGGAGGATAGATATATCATTTAATTAACTCATATATGTTATTGGATGAGAAAGCATAAAGCGAGCGAGCGAGAGAGAGAGATTGTGTGTTGTTTGTTTGTCAACTTTGTCCAATATGATGTTTTAATTATTATTTTGTAAATGATATTGTGAATCTATCCTTTTACTTTTCACCAATTCATCTTATGAATAATGAAACAACTAACTCTGTTTAACATTATTATTGATATCAGAAGTTTATTGAAATTTTGGAAATGATCAATATTTTTAGTTTGTTTGAGAAATAATTTCAATTATTACTCTGATTTTTCTGAATCTTATTTATAGTATTGATCAATGTTCAAGTTTTAAACAATTTTTTGATCAGGTATCACTTGATACTGAATCATATTATATAAAAGTAGTTTTCATATATTGTCAGCATAAAATGTTACAATCAACAAATATAGATGAAATCATCAATCAATCATTGTTAGACCACCATTAGAAACCTAGAAGCACTGGACGTTCGTTTCGTCCTGGTATGGGACTCATCAGCAGTGCGCATCCACGATTTCAAATGTGTAAAAACTGAAACCTCCAAAACTCTGCCCCAACATATCGTAACAGTGCTCACTAGTGACTAGCTTCGTGAGGAAATGCTCGGAGTTCTAGATGAGAAGACGTGACTAATGGAGTTCAACCCTGTCGGGTGTAGGCAGTAACTACCAAAGACAAATGGGTGATGTCGTGCAAAATCCCTAGATCAATCAGAGTTAGACATTAACACCGTTGGATACCGGCCCAGTGGTCTAGAGGTTAGGCGTTCGCGCACGAGGCCGAAGGTCCCGGGTCCGAATCCCGCGGGGTGTAGGAGTCGTGGATGCGCATTGCTGATGAGTCCCATACCAGGATGAGACGACCGTCCAGTGTTTCCAGGTTTCTAATGATGGTCTAACCATGATTGATTGATGATTTCAAATGTGTAAAAACGTAAACCTTCAAAACTCTGCCCCAAAATATAGATGACTTCTTTTTTCAATTGCTAGACAGCATGGATGATGTTTTTTTGCTTTAAAGTCACAGATGCACACACCTGATCATACTCGTTTATGTTAGTTAGTTGAGCATAAATTTCCTGCATACTTGTTGTTTGTTCAGTTGGTTAAGGGCATCAAATGGAGTAGGGTCTTGTTAATCTACACCTTTCCTTTACATACTTTGACGTTGTTTATAATGTAACTGACAAACTTCTGTGTTGTTTTTAATTTCATATCTTTGCAAAGATGATGTGTACTTTGTAAGCAAGTGAAATCATATCTAGCTAAATTATGGTTCATCAATATCAAACAGAGCCGGATAGATTACTATTTACTGTCTTTGGTCAATAAGATAAGTGGTGGACGGTGAGCTAGTACAAGTATGTGAATGATTCATTTAGACGAGATCATTGTCCTCATGTTACTACTATCAGTGAGCCGAAAACATTATTGTTACGTATTCTTTGTTAGAATAACGCTTTCCATATAGTCTTAGTACATTTGCTCTATGTATACTAGTTGGTTAAATAATGAAAATTTGTCAGTCAGTGATTACTAAATCAGCTATCACATAAATAATAAGTTATTAGTGTAAATTCTATCATAAATCTATCTATTAAAACTGTAGTTGGTATGTGTATAGAAGCTTTGAAATTATGGTATGGTTTAAAGAGAGAAGCTTATGAACTTTAATAAACATGATTAACTCACATTAGTTTATGTTTTTAATTGTGCTTTTTGAATTATGATGGCTTAAGAAGAATGATGTTGTTTCGATTAATTAAATAAAATGAATGACATATCCACTAGCAAAAAATGATGATGTGTTGAAGATGTGACCAAGTGATCTCTGTCTATATCCCTCGAGTCTCTCAACTGATAGTTTATATTTTCATTTTTGAGTTATGGAGAGTGTCGTGTTTTATTTAAATCATGAATCTATCATTGTTAGACCATCGTTAGAAAACTGGACTCTTCAACAATTCGACATCCACGACCTCCACTCACGGGAATCGAACCCAGGACATTCAGTCTTACGCACGAACGCTTAACCTCTAGACCGGTGAGTCGGCATCTAACGGTGTTAATGTCTAGCTTTGATCAATCTAAATTATTGTGCAGCATCACACATTGTCTTCGGTAGGGCTGAACTCGAATGTCCATGACTTCTCACCAAGACTCTGAAAATTTACTCCCGACGCTAGTAACTATTGAGCGCAATGCATGATTTTTATCAAAGGGTTATGGAGGCTGTTGTGTTTTAGTGAAATCATGAATCAATCATTGTTAGACTAGCATTAGTAACCTAGAAGCACTGGACATCCGTGAAGTTGCACAAAACCTTAGATTGATCAGAGTTAGAGGCTGACTCCGTTGGATGCCGGTCCAGTGGTCTAGAGGTGAGGCTTGCAAAACCGAAGGTCCTTGATTTGATTCCTGAAAGTTGTGGGAGTTGTGGATGCGCACTATAGATGAGTTCTATACCAGGACGAAACGGCCATCCAGTGCTTCCAGTTTTCTAATGGTAGTCTAACAATGATTGATTCATAATTTCAATCATAAACAACAACATCCATAATTCTATAATGAAAAATCATTTTATGATTGGTTCAAATTTTGTGTTAAAGACATTACCAGCAGATCTTATCAGTAGTCTTAAACGGTTAGCTATACCATTAAATAAACGTTTGGTCTAATTCAACACTCTATGAGAGTGGCAGCCACATATAGTGAGTGACATTATATCACTGATATATTTTTAGATCATCAAAAATAAAAATTCTCATTAGAATTCTAAGAGCTGTATCTTAAAGTAATTCATATGATCATTTGGGAAGCTATGACCAGTAGTGCTCAATCCGTGTCGAGTGTGAGACAGTTATCGATCGGGATACGCTAATTGGGAGTTTTTACTTGAATAAAGCAGTTATTCAGCATAGCCCAGCATCGCAACATTTAGTTTAATTTAATACTAAAATCGTACACAACAATAAGATTTACTAGTAAGTACTAATCATACGTCTATTGATATTTAGTCAATGTGTGATGGATAGAATTCCTCAATTGTATCATACGTGGATATGCTTGTTTTAATCTTTACCACAAATTCATGGTTAAATGCTGTTACATTGACTGAACGAATTGTATACAAATGTTATCATAGTTTTTTTCTCTTACAATAAGTTAACTTATTTTTTACTCATTTTCTTTATTTCTGTTTTTCATAGTTTATAAGAGTAAAAAGTAATATAAAGAAAGCTTATGATAAAGTACCTGGTCTTGAAAATGTACTACCTAAAGAATATGGTGGTCAGAATAGAAGTATTAAAGATATTTTAAGTGAGTTAGTAAATGAAATGAATATAAACTGCCATTGTTATAATTATTATTATTATTATTATTATTATTATTATTATTATTATATCATGTTGGGGACATTAGATCCTCAGAACTCATTTGGAAAAGGACCTAATATTGGATTTTTCAAGTTTTCGCGCATAAGCTACTTAGTTGACCTTGAGATTACATTTCTCATTAGGGAATTCCTTGACTGTCATTGGTTGACAGATTATTTTAGTATGCTATTTTGTGGCTCTCCAAAGGATGTTTCTTATCACTCATTGTTTCTGTGCTTAGAGACCTGGTATTTCTGTGTGCTAGTAGAATACACGTTCAACACCTTATCAAAACTTCTTGATATAGTTAGCAGGGCCAGGGACAATCGAATCAGAATAGCCTATCATGTCACTGCATCATTTGTCTTCTGTCCGTTTACCGAGTAAGGTGAACTCGTAATAGTTTAAAGCATATCAGTTGACGAACATATCATATCATTTATATTACTACACATATTTGATAAACTGAATTGACTTCCTGGTCACGTTTTAGACTCCTAAAATCTTTATTATTTGACTTTTGAACGAAATAAAAAAGGCGGGGTTACATAGGAGAAACTTTATTCGCGAAGTCAATTCGTGAACTGAGAACAAGGTCGTTTATTATTTGACATTGGATCAATGAAGTCAGGAAACATATAACGAGATGGCTTTCGGGATAAAAATCAATTCAAAATTTTTAATTTGAAAGAAATCACTTCTCATAGAATCGTATTAAGTCAGGTTGTTAACAGCAAAGCCCCTTTTTGTAATCATGAATTCTCTCAGCTGGATGATTCGGTTGGGGAAATTCATCTATCGTTCTGAAAAGAATTATCAGTGTCCACGTGAATTGGAAGTGACTAGTTCATAATTATCAGATCAGTACAACCGAATTGTCTTGCTAAGTTTCATCAATATTATGTGTCTATTTTGAGCATGTGATAAGAGGAGTCTTTCCTCTTGTGCTGACCAATTAGCTCTAACATCGATATGTTTGTTGATGGCAGATTAGCTTCAATGCTATGCGCCAAGTAATTCTCTGGGATCTTTAAAATCTAGGTTTTATTCACAGAATTCATTTGTTATCCATCCCACAACAGGGCAAGCAAAGACGCGACTGTCAAAAAGACGAACGAAGAATAGGGCAGTATGCAAGTAAGAGCACTCACTAATAAGGACAACTATCAAGTGTCTTTCCATCTTAATATCAGTTAACATTGAAAGGGAAAATAACACTTTTAATACTGTGAAATATTTTCGGTTTACCCTTGGTATCTTTACCTTAAGACCAATCAAAACGTATTTCCTTAAACGTATGATGAATAGTTCACCTTCAATGCATACTCTAATTTTTCGAATTCGATAAGAAATTATCATTGTTATTACCCTAATCATGTCAAGGTGATAAACTTGATTACAGTTGAGCATCCTTAGCTGTTGGAAACAGATGTACTGGATAGCATGACTAGGGTATTGAGATAACACATAAATCAGTCTATCTAGGCATTAACTATGAAACTGTTAGGATATTCATCCAATATCCTGAGAGAATTACTGGTCAATTCCTACTGGTCAATTTTATGGTCGTCCTAGATATCAGTGTCCCATGCTACAATGTTGATTCTTACTGGTTGTCCTGACTATCAATGTCACTTCAAATGTTGCTTCTTATTGGTCGTTTTAACTGTCAATGTCACAGAATTCGATGCTATTTCCTATTCGACCTAAATGTATAAATACTCATTATCTGTAACCTTTCATGACCACGACCCGGTCCCGGATCCCTAGTCCGGGATCCTGATTCTCTTCTGGATTCGGACCTCGTACTTTCTGGATGTTCGTAAAATACAGATTCTACTTCATATCAAGTCTTCTTATTTTACTCAATGTGGGGGGCTGAGATAATTGGATTTGAGTAGCATGTCGTGTCGCCGGATCCTCACTCTCGTTTGCCGACTAGGTAAACTCATAATAGTTCAAGTATATCAAGATCACGTGTTTACGTGCAGGCGTAACAGAAAGCATATAATTTTTACAGACCTCTATACTTATTCATAATCGGTACGAACTTTCCAGTACTAGTTCATGTATCATAGATGATCTGTACTATTTCTAATCACAATCTGTTACACAGTCAAAGTGATTAAAATATATGAGTGCTATAATATCATTATATAAACTATCATGTTCACATTTGTTAAATTTTAATGATTTCTCTCTTCTTTCCATCTATGTATGTATGTATGACATATAGGAGAACAAAATGCTGATTTTAAAGAATACTTTTATAGATGTGATATGATGTTATGGAACAGTATGAAAGTCAATGAAAGAAAACGACCAGAATCAGCAAAACGATTAATGTGTGAATATAAAGAAGCTGATGATCGATCAATGGGTACAGCTGGAACATTTACTCGTTTACCTGTAAATGATTAATTGATTTTCTTTTCTTTTCATTATTTTTATTTTATTTAATTTTAAATTGTGATCGGATTTTGATTGGATATTGTGTTTTTATTGTTTTTAAAAAAAAGAAATTTACACCAACAAACCGAAAAGTCAATGTGTAAATTTGTATAATTTTTTTTATAATAGAATGAAATTCAATTGTGATGATGATTTATTGTTATAATGAAATAAAAACAAAAGTCAGTTTCTTTGTTTGTAAATTTATTTTTTTTCTATTTTTAAAAGATACATTGTAATTAAACCGAATTAAGTGAGAAGATCGATGAGCAGAACACTTTAGGGATTAGTTCAACTGGCCTTCAGCCATATTTCGGTTACCCACGATCTCCAGTCATCCTGAATGGGAAACTGACATAAGTCACCCGACTTTTTATGAAGTTGAGAAAACGATAAGAAATCTGAAACGAGGGAGGGCAGTGGGTCCTGATAGATTTAACCGTGAAATTTTAAGGGATGTTGTTTAGTTATAGCAGCCAGATTGACTGGGATCTTAGGTAGAATCTGGGAACTGGACGTAATCCCATCCGACTGGTCTCAATCCATGATTGTCCCAATTTATAATAAAGGACAAAAGTCTTCTTGTGACAATCAAAGGGAAATCAGTTTAAGTAATATAGTTTCTAAATTGTTTGCCTCGATTATACTTAGACGCCTAACTACAGTTCGTGAAGACAGACAAGAGAAAACCAGTCTGGTTTCAGATCTGGACGTGGCTGTATAGACCACATTTTTACACTACTACAGGTCCTGGAACACAGACACACATTTAGGCGTCCAACGATAGTTGTCTTCTTGGACCTTAAGGCGGCATTTGACTCTGTAGATCTTGAGGTTCTATGACAGTGTCTGTCATCAAAAGGTGTACCACAGAAGTACATTAACCTTAATCAAACTCTATACCCGAACACTACAGGTCGAGTGAGAGCTTATGGAGAACTGTCATCGGAATTCTTTACTTCAAGTGGTGTCCATCAGGGCTGTCCACTCTCTCCATTCTTGTTCAACTTGAACTGCTGTACTTACGTGCAAAGCTATGCGTTGCTGTTAACGATGATGAGGTGAGAAGATCAACCGATAATTGTAAATTTGATGTGACAAGACATAGGAAAGATAAAAACTGAGTTTATGAACTTATACGATTCTTATGTATGTAACATCAATAAATGCATTTACATTTGTAATATCTTCATCATAGAAATAGTCATAAAACAATCAACAGCTAAAATCTATACTAGGAGTAATTATTCAGATTCTAATAATCAACCCTTACATGTTGAATTATTCTCTGTAATGGAGGGTCAGGGTTAAGTTTATATCTTAAAAGTCATGTTAGTGTTATGAGTAAGAGTAATCGCCCCACAGAGATCTCAACAACAATTGGAATCGAATATCATGATAAAAGGTTAGGTTGGAGATTTGAGTTTGATTTTTCATTATGCAATGCTTTCATCCAACTACTAACAAAATTAAGAGAATTACAATGAGTACTTCACTACAAGCATTTTAAAGATTATATATCGTCAATTTTTACTTGGTTAATACGTAACATACAAGTTATAAATTATCGCACTATGAATTTGGCGCAGAATAATTGAAGCGTTGTTTTGATTCCGATTGGTTTACTCAAGGCCATAAGTATATCGCTCTTCAACAGTTTAACTCACAGGAAATTATATCTCATTTTCTCAGAATTTTCGGCGAGTCAAACAGTCGATATTCAACTAATCCTTAGTAAAAAGGATTAATTCTGATGTTTTTAGCATAATAGAATGCGAGTAATATGAATCATCATTAAATACAATGGAAATTCATGGACGCCGTCAATATTAACAATTAAATGTTTACTAAACGAGAATTACCCCAAAACAGGCAACAATGAAACTGCTCAACGAACATTTTGGTTAACAAACTGTAAAGAACCATGAGTTTGGTGTGATCATTACAGTGAAGTGAGTTTGACCTTACTTGGTTTGATGAATCATCCTTCATCGAAATAGCATCATCTACTTATCTGACCTTTTGTTTTTTCAGTCCACATCATGAACTGATTTTAATTGAACAATCGTTGAAAATCAATAAACACTTTCTGTTATACTCCCTCCTGTCACAGTATATAGGATCATACAAGCCCTCCTCTGTAATCGAGCAGGAAATTTTAGGGTTCATCAATATTAAGCCTTCAGATCAGTGAGTTTGCATGCGACGATTGCCGGTAATGGTACCTATGCAATACCAGACTTGCTTAGACATCGCTAGTTATGAAAATTTTCATTTCAAATTAGTCGTCGACCAGTATATGATTAGAATGTACAACATATTTACCGCTAATGTGCTGCGTCCTACTTATACAGACACATATAAGTAGTGTATAGCGGGAAATATTAGTAGAATTCTTACTGTTAGAAAAGAAATTGAGAGCAATTACAGTAACGATAGGAACAGAAGAACAATGGAGTTCGTAAGGGACTAATTCAAGGAAGATATGCTAGTATGTTTAATGTATTGGTTTCATATTTTACAAATGCAGTGTGTATTGCTGTATAATACGGTTTTTCGTGCTTGCCAATGTCTTTGTGTGTATTACGGTTGTTGCTAATAAGCTCGATTGGCATTTGCTGACCTGCGTCACTTATGGCGTAGGCGAGATACCCGTTCGCTAACCGAAAGACGAGTGTACTGTGCAGCAGTTCGCCCCGTCCTACTATACGGATGCGCAACATGGCCAGTATGAGTAGAGGATATTCGTAAGCAATGAGTAACCGATTATAGATGTCTTCGAAGCATTGTTCCTGAATCCTGGGACAACCGAGTGAGCAATGCTATAGTTAGGAAACGAGTGCTAGGTAAGGATGGCAGATCAAATGATGAAGTATCGAAACTTCATTAGTTGAGGTGCTTTGGACATGTGTTACGGATGCCCGACCACCGACGATCGATGTTTTGTGGACGAAAGCTAGGGGCGGCCAAACCAAAACATGGCACAAATACATGACATCACTAACAAGTGGACTAGGTCATGTTGGTAGATGTAGGCTACCTGGTTGGGGTCCGCGCGACCAAAGTCACCGATGGTTAGAGACCTTCAATGACATGGCTCAAAACCATTTGCAATGGCGCAGGTGCATTCATTCTTTGTGTTCTCTCAAATTCTAACCTTCCCAATTTCTCATCACCTTTATGTTTCTCTTTTTTAAATTTGTTTCACTGAATTATACTTCTCGAAACATATCTTCCAACCCTTATCTTCCCCATTACTGCAAATACTTCTACTATTGCTACCACTACTGGATCTGAACTGACAGTTGCGTCTCTGTGCTTATGTGGTTTGGCAACCTGAACTGATGTACGTATGTATGCAGTTCTATGTTGTAGCTCACTGACGGCTGGTGCCAGTCAACTTCAAATTGCCTTCATACATTTGCGTAACAATAAAATGTACCTACAGTCCTGCGGGAAACTGACATTTTTTTATGAAACAGAGATACATGTCAATACGATATCACAATTACGATTGTTTCATTATGTCTTACTTTGTCCATATGAGAGCAACATTACTCAGGCTTATAAATAATCAATACGTCTAATGTCATCTCTACTCTCTCTTTAGAAAATTGTGTACAACAATGTTAACTTAATAAAAATTAATTATTAATTACTACTAAATAAATGAAAACATTTTTTACCAATGATAATAATAATATTATTATTAATAATTATCACAAATTATTATTTATAACCGAATAAAATACCATGAATAAGAATAATAATAATAATAAACCGTATACATAAGATCAGTTCAAATGTGAGAAGAGGATAAGAAACATTGTATGTAAAACGAACTCTGTCTAAAAGCTGAAAAGAAAAGGATAGCAAAATGTGTAAACAATTTCTGTACATACATACATACATATAGATAGATAGATAGATGGATTCATTCATACAACATAATAAAGTGGAAGCAGTAGTAGTAGTAGTAGTAGTAGGTGAGTATAAAAAAAAAGGAAACCAATCTCCTGTACACACACACACACACTGACTGACTGGGAGAGAGAGAGAGAGAGACAGACAGAGATATGTCAACTGATTTCTCAAAGCAAAACACCAACAACAATAACAATTATACATAAGAGAGAGAGGCGCATTTTATAGATGAAAATACAGTGAGTGGTCTAAAAAAAACAAAAGACAAAAGAACATGATTTTGTTTATCTTGAAGAGAGAGTACAACCATTTAAAAATAACACCAGGATATCTATATATGTATATATATTTATATGTTAATGCTTATGTCCTTTCCTTTACAATAATTTACTTACAGAGAAGAAAAGATGATGATTTTATGTGACATAGACACTTCTTGATCAACAAGGCATGAAAACCATGGTATACACAATAACAATAGCCTAAATGGAATAAGGATGAGCATCCGATAGAGAGAGAGAGAGAGACAGAGATAGTGCACTTCATCAAACATACACAAACAAAATTCCATTTCAGGGGGATTATCAACACAAAATGACGCATTGTAAAAAATACACTATGTATACACACAAATAGTTCATTTAAAGAAGGAAAAAAAACTCCCAAGAGTTTCTCTTTTAACATTGAATCAAGGTACTTACTGGGTTTATACCAAATATGAATGAAATAAGACGAGGTAACTATGATCATAAAATAACCTGATAATCCGATCAAGTTTATTGTTATTGTTGTTGATCTCAATCAAAATGAACAGAGAGAGAGAGAGAGAGAGTAGGGGGGGACTATTGGAATATAAAACAGAGTATTCATTGACGAAAAGGACTATTGAAGAAAGAATGATGAGGAGTAAAAAATTTTACTGATTCACAAACACATTTACTATTCACAAAAGTAAAATATCTATCAACAAACAGACAAACATCAAAGAAAAAGAAACAAATACACAAGATTTTGCATGATATACACACGCACACACATACACACACGTACATGGTGGTACTACTACTATTACTGCTGGCAAATAAAACAGATGATACACAACTAATTGATGTGTATATTCCATCGGATTGGATTTTAGAAAAAAACAACTAAGAGTTTGTTTGTGTGATTCACTAACATGAAAAATGGTGATTGGAGTATCATCATAAGTTATGATTAGTTGACGACGACTGATTGGATAAAAATCAATTATCCAGTTGATGATCTACTACACTAATTA